AAAAAGTCAGAATTGTGAGATAAAATAAATAAATGTTATGTAAAAATGTTAATAGTAAGGTTTAAATAATATTTCATGCTGTAACTGTAGGGCTAATACAATACGTCCCCTATGAACAGCATATGTGAATATGTAGACCTATTGCTTAAATCGAATTTGTGCTTTAAAAGTAGAGTAATCATAACAGTTTTCATCCATAGTATGTCCATTTAAATGTCTGCGTTTAGCTTCAAATGGCATCTTTGACGACAGTATTCTATAAAAATTATTTGCATTCCGATCTTGATATCAAACGGCACAAAAATATATTTTTTCTTTTATTCCATGGATTTTACCCATTTATCTCCACTTGTTCCCAGTGTTTTTCTGCAACCACTATGCGTGCGCAGCTGCAAGTGACGTAACTGTGACGTCTACTCTGAATTGGTCTATAATGCCAAGAATATGATGATAAAAACCCATCCTTTTTTTGCATAATGAAAAAGTGCACCTTGAATTCATTCAGTCACTAAACAGCTGCCATCAAAACACTTCTTGTATGATAAAAATATTGTAATTAAGTTTATAATTTTCTATTACAGAAAACTAAACAGGGGGCAAAAAAGTCTGGAAATGCATATATTTTTTCTATACTCTGCTTTCTTTTTCCATACTCTTACAGACCTGGAAATTACTAAAAACAAATTCCATATTTTTACCAACTGCGTAGGAACCCTGTTTGACAATCCTGATGAGTGACATGGATTAAATTGGCAGACATGACAGAGCATCAACACTTCTAGGACGCATTTAGGTTGAATTTTGCCATCTATGGTGCGCAAATTAGACATTTAGATGTAGATATCAAATGTGATACTTATATTGAACATGACACCTGTTTAGAAGATATTGTATATAACTGGCAGCAATGCGGTAGCTACTCCTTGCATTATTTAGCCGCGTTAAACGCAATATCTTTTATACTTTATTAAATATTCACCGCTTGCGCCCTTTTCACGACCTACCGGAAGCCATTGCGCAAACAATAGACGGCCATGTGCGTGATGTGGCCCCGCTGATGAACCGCACATGCGGGACAGACCGCAACACGTGACTCACCGCCGCGAGCCGGTCTGAAACACACCCGACACCTGCCGTTAAACCAGCCGGCAAAGTGACTGAAACCGCACACAGGCCATCACAAGCAGATGGGAAACTAGTAACGAAATTAAAACACTAGGATATGAAGTTACAAAACCGATAGTGGAGGTTTTCACATCAAAAACGCGATTCTTTGCACAATACGTGGCACGGTTAGCTAGCATGCTAACCAGGCCCGGCCTGACAAGAGCCGGAAAAACAAACCGAACGACTCAAAATTAGGCGTTAAGGTAGTTGAGTATTTAATAAACTAGTTATAATCTAGGCAGAAACGATAAATAATTTGTAAAGCGTTTTAGGAAATGAATCACGCCGCTGCCATTTTGTTTTGTGGGAAACAACTAGCCGGCCTCTTCCCGCCCGCATTTTGCCGCAAATCCCGTTAAACGCAGAAATACCGTATCAGACATTGAAATCTGCTCGCTGCACAACTATATCGAATCAAATAATACGTCTGATACGTACCATTTTGACAGATGGTTCAAGATTCACTCGGCACTGATTTTACAGCAGAGCGCGCTGCCTTCCGCTGGCGGGGACAGGCAGGGGAGAAGGACGCGTCACGCCGCAGAGCTCTTTTATATTCAGGCCACGCTTTCAGCGTAGCGTCATGACGCACAGGCGACGCTGTTTTCTTTGTCTCCTCCTAGCGTCACACATGAGCAAAAGAAATACAGCATTGACAGCATTGGCATGACTGAAATATGGAAGAAAAATCGAAAATAAATAACTAAACAGACACATCGATGCCCATATAAATGCTTAATTAAGACATTAGTTATATAATATTTAAGTAAGTAAATAAATAATTAAATTGTCACATCCATACACATACATTTTTAAATAAGAAATTTAGCTGTCTAATAGTTAGGTAACAGAATAAGTCACATTCATGCACATATAAATGCTTAAAAGGAACATAAATTGTATAATATAATAATATAATATAAAATTAACAATTCGCCTAACTCTTGTATGCTCTTTAAAACATTTTCCTCCCTCCTTTGTCCTCCTCCTCCCCCTCCTTCATCAACTCTAACAGCTGACGACTTTGCCACATTCTTCATTAATAAAATTACAAACCATCAGTGCACAATTTGCCACACCACAAACTGTCAAACACATCTTACCAGCAAACATACACTCGTTCACATCCTTCTCTTCACTCTCTGAGGCAGAAGTCTCCAAACTCATCCTTTCTAATCATCCTACTACTTGTCCGCTTGATCCTATTCCATCTCATCTCCTTCAAGCCATTTCTCCTGCCGTTGTACCTGCACTCACTCACATCGTTAACACATCCCTTCACACTGGTGTTTTTCCCTCAGCATTTAGACAGGCTCGTATAACCCCACTTCTTAAGAAACCCACCCTTAACCCATCTCTTTTAGAGAACTACAGACCGGTTTCCCTTCTACCTTTTATTGCAAAAACACTTGAACGAGCTGTGTTCAACCAAGTCTCTGCCTTTCTCACACAGAACAACCTCCTTGACAGCAACCAATCTGGCTTCAGAAGTGGACATTCGACCGAGACTGCCTTGCTTTCAGTTGTTGAAGCCCTAAGACTGACAAGAGCGGATGCCAAATCTTCAATACTTATTTTGCTGGATCTGTCTGCTGCTTTTGAACTGACTTTTTCATTAACTGTTCCCTCCTGGTGGAATGATCTGCCCAAATCAATCCGAGCAGCTGAGTCCTTAACCATCTTCAAGAAACGACTAAAAACACATCTGTTCCACCTTTATTTGACCCTCTAACTCTAGCACTTTCTATTCTATTTTAATTCTACTTTATATTTATCATCTTTTTTATTTTTTTATTTAAAAAAACAACAAAAAACAAACAAACACTAGCTTTCTATTTTTTCTATTCTATCTACTTTTTTTTGTGTGTGTGTGTGTGTATGTATGTATGTATGTATACCTTGCTACATGTACTGCGTTAGGCTAACCGAGACTTGTCATTTGCACTTATATATTGTTGCTCTTTTGTTAGTTTTGACTGCTTTTATTGTCCTCATTTGTAAGTCGCTTTGGATAAAAGTGTCTGCTAAATGACTAAATGACTAAAAATAAATAAATAATATTTAAATAAACAACAGAATAAATAAATGAACAAATAAATAAATAGTCACATCGATGCTCATAAAAATGCTTAAACGGAACATAAATTGTATAATATTTAAGTAAATAACAGAAAAAATAAACAGTCACATTCATGCTCATATAAATGCTTAAACGGGACATTAGTGTATAATATTTAAATAAATAACAGAAAAAATAAATAAACAAATAAATAAATAGTCACATCGATGCTCATAAAAATGCTTAAACGGAACATAAATTGTATAATATTTAAGTAAATAACAGAAAAAATAAACAGTCACATTCATGCTCATATAAATGCTTAAACGGGACATTAGTGTATAATATTTAAATAAATAACAGAAAAAATAAATAAACAAATAAATAAATAGTCACATCTATGCTCATATAAATGTTTAAATGGGATATTAATTGTATAATATTTAAATAAATAACAGAATAAATAAATAGTCACATTCATGCAAATATAAATGCTTAAATGGGATATTAGTTGTATAATATTTAAGTATGAATAAATAGTCACATCGATGCTCATCTAAATGCTTAAACGGGACATTAATTGTATAATATTTAAGTAAATAACATAATAAATGAACAAACAAATAAATAGGCCTAAATAGTCACATCGGTGCTCATAAATATGCTTAAATGGGATATTGTATAATATTTAAGTAAATAACAGAATAAATAAATAAATAAATAGTCACATTCATGCTCATATAAATGCTTAAATGGGATATTAGTTGTATAATATTTAAGTAAGTAAATAAATAAATAATCACATTCATGCTCATATAAATGCTTAAACGGGACATTAATTGTATGATATTTAAATAAATAACAGAAAAAAATAAATAAACAAACAAATAAATAGTCACATTGATGCATATAAATGCTTAAATAGGTTATTAATTGTAGGCTATAATATTTAAGTAAATAACAGAATAACAGTATAAATAAAGAAATAAAAAGGAAATAGTCACATCGATGCTCATATAAATGCTTAAACGGGATATTAATTGTATAATATTTAAGTAAACAACGGATTAAATAAATAATTAAACAAATAAATAGTCAAATCCATACACATATCAATGCTTAAATAGGACATTAGTTGTAGAATATTTCTATAAATAATACAATAAATAAATAAATAGTCTAGTTTATATCACGCAATTCCGAGAAAGAAAAGTCAGAATTTTGAGATAAAAAGTCGCAATTACCTTTTTTTTAAATTCAGTGGCGGAAACGGGCTTCCATACAAAATACAATATTATAAATAGTATTTGTGGTCAAAAAAAAAAAATCCAAGACTGAGGTGTATGTAAATTTATTTCGAAAAGGGACAGTGTACATTAATCAACATCAAACTGTAAATGTACCCAAGTTAGCCTAAAGGATCATTTTTATATATATATTACACACACACACACACACACACACACACACA